GACTTTCTGTCTGGGGTGAGCAATAATTTTTAGAAATAGTGGTGATAATTGCACAATATGGTGAATGTAATTAATGTCACTGAATTGTACACTTAAAAAATGGTGAAAATGGCAATTTTTTTGTTGTTGTTGTTACATGTATTTGGCCACAATAAAATTAGAAGAGGAAAAAAAAAAAGGCAAGGGTCCTGGTCTGTAAGGTCTGGGGATGAAGGCAAGAGTAGAGAGTACTGGTCAGAGACCTCCTTAAAGCTCAAGGTTCCAGATGATGGATGGGAACCCAGACTGCAAGACTACATGGGGCTGGTACATTTCCCATCATGGTCCCCCTGCAAGCCTGGTACCAGATTATAGTGGGCTGGGATGGTCTACTCTTGGGCTCCTCATTCTGTGCAGACCCTGGGCTGTGACTTTGATTCTCCTTGCCCTGTAAGGCTACGAGACAGAGAGTTAAACTTTTGTGAATTGGCAAACGTCCTTAAGACAAAGGAGCGCCTGTGTTGGCTTAATTCTCTGGTTTCCACTCTCTCTTGGGTTTTAGCCTAGAGAGTTTGGCCACTCTGTTGTCAGCTCTTTTCTATTTTTAAGAAAAATTAAAAAAAAAAAAAAGTTAAATATTTTGTCCAGGATTTTTGGCTATTTCTACCCAAAAGGTTGGTTTCAATAAGCTAGCCTGCCATTTGTGCATTCATTCGCTAACTTATTTATTCATTCTGAAATGAGAGAAATGATTTCTGATTTACAGTCCCACCTCCATGCCTTTTAAGGAGCAGACATCCCAAGGAACTGTCTTGGTTGAGTAGCAGGAGTTATCTGAATCAATAGGCAGATAGAGAGAAAGTGTTAAATTCACATAAGAGATAGGATGGTGACATCCAGAAAACAGCGAGAGAGTATGAGAAGGGAATCTTTGGAGGAGAGAAAAGGCAGCCCTCACCGGGAGAGGACAGAGATATCTAATGAGGACTTTTATTCGGTTTTACCTCGTGGTATTAAATGTAAATCCATTTCTCTGTTAGTACTTAAGATTCTCAATAAAATACCCACCAAACCAGTTACCACTGAGTCGATCCTGACTCATGGCAACCCCACATGTGTCAGAGTAGAACTGTGCTCCTTAGGGTTTTCAGTGGCTGATTGTTCAGAAGTAGATCGCCAGGCCTTTCTTCCAAGGCACCTCTGGGTAGGCTCAAACTGCCAGCCTTTAGGTTAGCAGCCAAGTGCTTAACCGTTTACATCACCCAAACCAAAAAGCAAACCCGTTGCCATTGATTCCAGGTACCCAGTGTAACATCAGTGACCTCTTAAGGCATTTTGGTCTTGGACCTTTTTCTTGGCCAGTTTTTCAAGGTAAGTTTGGAGCGGGGAAGAGAGGCTATCTTGACCCAGACACGCTCTGGTTGCACCATCAACCACCATAGACTGACAACCTACTATGTGCCAGGCCCTCTGGTGGCTTGGAGACATGAAAAGGATTAAGGGAGAGTCCCTACTACCTGCGGTCCCACAGCAAAGTTCTGTGCAAGTGCACACTAAAGTGCCCTTAAATGTGTTCCCCCCCTTAAAGTTTAGGGGGTACACAAGGAATCTGGAAAGAATCCCCAGAAGTGTGACATGTGATCAAGATCTTTAATGCTGAGTGGAAGTTTGCTGAGTGACAAAAAGAGGCATGGTTAGAAGAAACACCAACACCAGCTCCCCAGAAATTCCTGCAGCCAGCATTTCTGGTTAGGAGGGTCAAGCCTGGAAAAAGAGGACGTGATTGTGTTATCTTTCCCAAAAGTCAGATACGTTATTTTCAGAATGGGGAGAAAAAGGGAAAGGCAGGCAAACCATGAACTCAGCCACCTCCATCCACCCACCCCACAGGATGCCGCTGAAGCGTTCTCTGTGACCCTTGAAGGGTCCGTGACAGAGAGATGGCTGCTCAGTGAGCAGGGAGGGGCAAGTTTTTACTCTTTCCATGAGGGTCCCAGGAGCTCAGCGTAAATTCTGCCTTCCAGCCTGAGCTTGATGGCACTCATGGAGCCTGGTACTCCGAGTGACACTAGCCAGCTGGGAGCCTTTCCTGGGAATAAAGAGAAGGAATGAACCCCTAGCTCTTTTTCTGCAGGAGCTGTGTTCAAATTAGCAGGCAAAAGGACAGGCACTGGGAGCGGGGACTGTCAAAAGACACTCCTGTGGCTTGGTTGTCAACGTTCCACTTGTTTGGATGGGATGTTTAATCCACGGTCATGGAACACAATTCTCTCCTCTCCAATCCATGTTCTAGTATGTGAGACATGGCTTATTTAAAGTTTAAAATGTTTAAATATGCATGAGCTTGCCCCTCTTGTAGACA